TTGCAAATCATTATCTATATTACTAAGATTGTCTTGTTTAAGTACTTCACACTTTTCAGTGCTTTTTCATATTCGCAGATTTGATCAACTAAATGGCAGCTGCCAAGAGAAGTAAAATAAAAAAAACAGTTAATATCAGTATATCTATTTTGTTATCCTTAATTTGTTATGTTACTTTGCTTGTAACGTTTTTGATGAAAGAGATGAAGACATGTTGTACTCAATACTCATCTTCCTTTATTGAATCCGTGTAGAAATATGTATAAGATACAGAGTGGGCACCCTCGTGTAGAAATATGTATAAGATACAGAGTGGGCACCCTCGTGTAGAAATATGGTTAAGATATCCTTCTAATCACTTAGTTAAGTTAAAGCTTAAGCTTAAGTTACAGAAATCATATTCCTGATACTTCTGGTTGTAATGTAATGTGTAGTAGTAGCATTTAATATTTCCAACCCGAATGGCACACTTTATGCGACACATAGGCCAAGTTAGATACCTATAGGTTCAGGCAGTACTCACCGTCAACTCTCGGGCTGCACTTTATTAATGAATAGTGGCATTGATCGTAACTTTATAACGTCCTCACTGTTGAAAGTGTGAACACACTCAGAGACGGGTTTCGATTCCACGATCCGCAGATTTCAGGCCATGATAATAGACCACTGCCAACAGAGAAAGTGTACATATGTGTGTGTGTGTGTATAATTCACAAATAATTAATTTTGAATATTCAAATGCTTAACTTATTATTTTAGGAAACCGTTATTCATCGGGTTCCTTTACATTATTACTTTCAGTTAAGCTAGAATACGTGAGGAAGTATGAGTTGGAATTAGTAGACAGTGATTAACTAGAGCGTTATCCTTGATAAAATATATTTTTTTAACGAAAGTCTACAATCGTTGAAGATGGATCACATTAAATCGTTTTACGAAAGGTTTATCGCAGATCAATCATAAATCCTCTTATTAAAGGATTATCGCGTATCACATCAAATTATTTTATCGAAGACTTATTAATGATCATATTAAGTTATTTTATTGAAGGCTTACAGTTGATACGTTTGTTACCATAGCAGCATACTTATGTTTGTGAAACGTGATGAGTCAAGAGTTATATCGCCATTTTAATTTAAAGCCACGAATAGGGTGGCTAAGAGTGAAAGACACCTCCATTACGTATAATATTCTTTTCACTTAGTTCCGTATCACCCGTGTCTTCGTCATTTGGGGGTTGAATGACAAGTTTCCGGCCCCTCGAGCGAGAAAAAAATTTTCGTCGGATTGCGAAAAATGGAGATTCAACCAATAAGACACAGACAGTGGAGATGAGATACGATAATAGAATGTGACCAAACATTATGTAGGCCTGAAAAAAGAAGAAAAAAATTTATTACTATTTCTGTTTTACAGGACATTAGGTATTTAAGTTCTGATTTAATACTTTTAACAGTTTTATTAGACACGGTTTTCAAATATATGACTAACAATATATTACATCATCAATTGTGCTTTCCAACAACAGTGTTAATTTGTATCGCACAAATTTCAACCAATGTTGGATTAGCATAATTGTGCTTTCCAACAACAGTGTTAATTTGTATCGCACAAATTTCAACCACTGCTGGATTAGCATAATTGTGCTTTCCAACAACAGTGTTAATTTGGATCGCACAAATTTCAACCACTGTTGGATTAGCATAATTGTACTTTCCAATAACAGTGTTAATTTGTATCGCACAAATTTCAACCACTGTTGGATTAGCATAATTGTGCTTTCCAACAACAGTGTTAATTTGTATCGCACAAATTTCAACCACTGTTGGATTAGCATAATTGTGCTTTCCAACAACAGTGTTAATTTGTATCTCACAAATTTCAACCACTGTTGGATTAGCATAATTGTGCTTTCCAACAACAGTGTTAATTTGTATCGCACACATTTCAGCCATTGTTGGATTAGCATAATTGTGCTTTCCAACACAACGTTAAGTTATATCGCTGTACGAATTTCAGTCATTATTGAGATAGCATTAACTGTGTTTTCAAATAACATTGTTCATTTTGTCGTTGTATGAATTTCAGCCGTTGTTTGGTCATCACTAACTGTGAAATGATTTATCACATTAATAAATACATTTAGTTTTGGCATGACACTGGATCAATATTTTAATCTAAAGCATTATTATCATTTAAGAACTGATTATCCAATGAATTATGATGACGATATTTGCTCACATTAACTTTCAAAATAAACACGTACGCTTTCTACTAACAATACGTACATATTAGTTCTTCACCGTACTGTAGAAGTCTACCTCTGGTGTGCAATAAGTTAATTATTTCATGCTGACATTTGTCAGAATATGTATTTTAGGAGTTCTTGTACGAAGCTTTGTGCTTGTCTCCATAAAGTAATCGATCTTAATCTTAATACAATACATAATGGATACTTACAATAGTAATTTCCTTTGTATTTATGAGGTTTCTTACGTAACCATTGTAAACGTACACAATCACGTGATGAATTAGATAGACCATATATGTTAGTCTGTCTAAGGATATGAATGGTTTCCATGACAACAGAGTATTAATAAAACCTATGAAAATATAAAAAAAATCACTGTAGGCATTGTTAATAATCAGTGCTTGAAGGGGGATGGGGAGGGGGAAGCGGGATGGTTTGTGATATTTTTGAAGCTGAGTACTATATTTCTTGTTTTTCATTTGTATTCTTTATTTATTTTTACAAAAGATAGCGGGATGGCTTCGGGTCCCTTCTGAAAACAAATTGGATGGCATCCTTTCCCTCTTCAAGCACTGTTAATATTACAAAATAGTCGAAAATATTAACCTTTCTAACCGTTTCTAATTGACATGGCATGAAACAGTAAATATTGAATTCAACAAACATTTATAGAAGTAATGTCATACGGTATGTTATAAAACAAAACGAAAACCTTTTATTTTATTTCCTGAAAACAAGGCTCTTGTTTTAATTGCGAAAAACATTTAGATTTATGAAAGCTAATTCTTGTATCTGTAAAGTTCTTTTACAACCAGAGTTAATTACATAGCATATAAAGCTACCAAGTTCGACATTGAAGTACACAGAGATGGTGGAGTTAAAGGTGTGACGATACAGCGATACGATACGATTTATGTATCTTCTCGAAATTTGGAAAGTTTTCAGTAAACATTATAAGTCTTCTGTACAGAAAATATCAGAATTTCTAATAAAGTATTTTTGCTAAAAATTAAAAGGGTGCCCACTCTGTATCTTAACCATATTTCTTCACGAGGGTGCCCACTCTGTATCTTATACATATTTCTGACGAGGGTGCCCACTCTATATCTTAATCATATTTCTTCACGAGGGTGCCCACTCTATATCTTAACCATATTTCTACACGAGGGTGCCCACTCTGTATCTTAACCATATTTCGTCACGAGGGTGCCCACTCTATATCTTATACATATTTCTACACGGGGGTGCCCACTCTGTATCTTAACCATATTTCTTCACGAGGGTGCCCACTCTGTATCTTAACCATATTTCTTCATGAGGGCGCCCACTTTATATCTTAACCATACAAATGGGGTTAAAAAAAACGCTTCAGTGACACATACTTGAACTCAAATCCTAATAATTATTAAAACCACATACTAATTTTAACCCTGATAAGTAAACGTTTAAAGAGAAACAACTCACCTGTACAGGTGGAATCGGGAATTTCATGTATCTTTGATCCAGAGGCTGAGAAAAACTGCAGTGTTATAATTTCGCACGACAGAGGGTACCCGATTTTCCAAACAGACTGTTCCTTATTGGGTTATGAAAAATGTCGAATTGAAGCATTACGTCATTTCTTTACGTATACGTCGCACGCTTCTCGCCAGTTTCCTAATTTTGTATTGAAATTCGTTATTTTCACGATAGGGTTTTTTTGCGTAACAGAAAAATAAAAGTGTGTGTTTCTTTTCTTTTATTATTTTAAACATTTCGTAGTCATTTTAATGCATCTTCTCTCGTTAATTACAAAGAACCACGGTATACTTGAGCAACTTGTATGTGAGTGTTAAAATGTGGTCTTTTTGCGTTACAGATTAAATTTTAATATCTATAGATAGAAACGTATATGCACTAGACGTGGGAATTTTCGATAAATACGTTAATTGAAGTTTTTTTGACTTTTCACTAAAAAGAAAAAAACAACAACAACTAACTATAAGGTCAGAGGGTTGAATATTTGTTTGTTTTGTTTCGGAATTTCGCGCAAAACTACACAAAGGCTATCTTTGCGTAGCCGTCACAAATTTTGAAATGCCAGACTAGAGGGAGGGCAACTAGTCAACAACACCCATCGCTAACTCTTGGGCTACTTTTCTCTGATCGAGTAGTGGGTGGACACTCCAGATAATTCACTGTAGCTTTGCTCTAAAACAAACAAACTGAATTTTGTAACATAACGCAAATATCTGTCGTCTTGTTCTCTTTTTTTGTACCTTGAATAAAGTATTACACTCATTTGAAAAAAGAGTATTTTAGGTAGTCTAGCCAGAGTAGAGTACTATAAATTAACCACTAGTCAATATTACTCATTCGAAATGGAACATCCACTGTACAGAAAGGTTACTTTATGTTGTTTCACGAGTATTTTAGGTAGTCTAGCCAGAGTATAGAAACGTCTACTATGAATATATGTTGGTAAAATAAGAATGAACTTGAATTATCACAAGTTTCTACTACACAAGCAAGAATATTGCTATCATAAATTTTATTCAAATTGCAGATAGGAGGAGGCCCGCTGACGAGTACTATAAAGTAACAACCACTAGTCAATATTACTCATTCGAAATGGAACATCCACTGTACAGAAAGGTTACTTTATGTTGTTTCTACTCTGGCTAGACTACCTAAAATACTCGTGAAACAACATAAAGTAACCTTTCTGTACAGTGGAATGTTCCATTTCGAATGAGTAATATTGACTAGTGGTTGTTACGTTATAGTACTCTGCTCATGAAAAAGGTTGGAACTTACCCACACAGTCTACCTCTGTTTCATCTGTACAATAAATATTCCAGAATTCTGCATTTTCAGCAATGACCAATTCCCCTGGGGGACACTGGTGTAGAATGGATTCAAGGTTTTCGTTGCAGTAGTAATATTTGTCGCAGTCCTCGTGTAAATAGGTAACGTTCGCCACGATACATGCTAGCAAATTCTTTGATCCTGCGAGAGGGGGGAAAAAATGTCAGTTGTACAAAAAAGGACAGTGTAAGCCAAATTTCAGTTGAACAAAAAAGGACAGTGTAAGCCAAATTTCAGTTGAACAAAAAAGGACAGTGTAAGCCAAATTTCAGTTGAACAAAAAGGACAGTGTAAGC